GAGGCTCTCTGCGTGGTGCTGACCTGCAGCCGGGCCCTGCTCCTGCGCTCGGGGCCTGGGCTGAGCGATGCTGTAGCGCTGGGGTCTGGTCGCTGCTGCGCTCGTGCTTGGCGTGCGCTGGACTCTAAGCGTCTCTCCCGTGTGTTTGTGACTCAGCTCCCAGCAGGTGACCGATATGTTCCAGGGCCTGACAGTGGGGGTCATGTCCCTTGGGCACCTTGGCCATTCAACCACGTAAGACGCCTTCACCCTGGTTGGGAGCTTGCGAGGTGGCACTGGCTCAGGCTGCAGCCTTCACTGCTCCCAGGGTTTCTTCTCACCGCTCTGCCTGCAGCCAGGGAAAACGGGCTGCCGTGCAGGTGTGGGGTGCGCGCTCTCACCGTCGCAGTCCCCGGAGGCGGTGGGTCCGTCGGTCATCCCGGTGCCCCACGGCGCTCTGGCGGAGCCTGGGACGTGCCGAGGGAGCTGTGCCTGTGCCACCAACTTCCAGAGACCTCCTGAGCTGCCGGGCCCGGCTCTGAACTTGTGAGATGTGCTTTGTCACCGCCCTCCGAGTCTGCTTCCAGTGTCCCACGCTGTCTGCAGACCTTGTCCCTCCGGTTAGGAAGCCCTCCCGTTCCTCACCTCCATACCTGAGCACTTGTTCTCAGGACAGCGTTCCTCCCCGCTCCGAAGGCTCTCCCTCCCTTGGCAAGCGTAGGGCACACTTGGGTTCCCTCACTGTCTGCTCTGCAAAGCAGAACAAGGCACCTCCTCGCCCCACTTTGGCCCCCGTCTCGAGAGGGTGAATGTCTTTGCGTCAGCGTGGCTGTTGTCCCGGGTTGGACGTGGCCTCTGCTCTGGCTGGTGTGGATCCCCCATCTCCTGAAGTTGTTCCCCTGTGAGCCCAGGGGCTCACAGAGATGGTGATGAGCATGAGGTCCTGCGTGTGGGCAGCCCGGTCCTGCCTGCAGGAATCACAGAAGCACAGAATGTTCGGGGTTGGCAGGGACCTCTGGGGGTC